TGTAAGGCACTAAATAAGTGTAAGGCACTAAATAATTGAATGGCACTAAATAAATCTATGGTACTAAATAAGTGTATGGCACTAAATAAGTGTATGGCACTAAATAAATGTATGGCACTAAATAAGGGACCGTCGTAATTGGGGAAACCTGTAACGGTATCCCTGTAGAAGGCACATTTATGTAAAAACTGGACCCAAATGTAATAAGGGTCACAAATGTAATAAAATTTGGTCACAAATGTAATAAAGGTTACAAATGTAATGAACTTTGGTCACAAATGTAATAAATTTTTTGTATTAGTCTCAAGGCCAAAACTAATTGCGCTTTTGTTGTAAACTCAAAATCCATTGTACAACTGTACACCATTCATGCAAATTTTCCACATTTGTTTTCTCAGATATAAGATCACAAATTGTTTTTACAATTTCCAAATTCGTTTAATTTTTAAAACGATTCACAACATTAAACCTAAAACAAGCTTTATTAAACTCAATCAACTTTTACATTAGACAATCAGGTAAATAGGTATAAAATAGAGATTAGAACATCAGTATATCGTTTTCATGTTTTTCATGTATGTCGATTGATTTTGAGACATAATTGACTGACTTTTTTCTTATAAGCTTACACAAAAACCGTTAGCTCATTTCAGGGAGGGGTCCGCACCCCCTGCACCCCACCCTAGATCCACCCTTGCTTCCATCAAGTTTGCAACTGAAACAGTTCTTCAGTACCAAACTCTTTAATACTTCAGCAGTTGACATTTAGACGCCAAATTTTAACAAACAAACGATCGATCGAACAAACGAATGAATGAATAATATGCGGAATGTGATGTTTTAAGGGGAAAATTAATTTCAGACTACTGGCATTAAGCCATGGTTTTGTGTTGCAGTTGTTTGGAAAAATATCTTTTGAAAAAATAGTGATAACTTGTGATCGTCCCTAAACTGAACTAATGATCGACAACCATTGAGACATCAAATGAAAGAAAAAAATATACACACGTACACACAAAAACATGAAAATAAATAGCGAAAAAAGAAATAGAAATACATTATTCGACATTAATTCCATTTTAGTATCAATAACAGCGTAATTTATGAATAGAATTAGCATGATTTCAGGTTATTATGATCCATTTATTTTCGATAATGCAAGCCACTTTCGGATCATGTGACTATTAATTAAAGTCAGCTGTAAGTTTTTTATTTTTTAATTTTATTAGAGTGTACACAGTATATCCATGAAAAATTAGTTTTACTAAATAGTACAATTCTATTCAAATTATATTGTTTTCTATTGTTTAATTAGCACTCTTTTTATACTATTTAGTAAATTGCATTCTGTGGATATATTGCTTGCACTCTATTATATAGAGTACAAACACTAAAAGTGTGCAACACTTTGCAGTATTTAGTAGTAAGTA